GGCTCAATACGCCGATGCTCTACCACTTGACCCGATCTACTCGGACACCAACTCCCCATCCCAACCTACAACCGTTCGAATTTCCCTCTTTTTGCCATTTTCAAATGTCGTGTAATCAGGATTCGATTTTCAGCGACTTATGAAGTGGCCACGGGGCTATTTTTATTTCAAACGAGACCTTCCATAAAAAGAATAATTAATTGAAATAAGTAACTTGGTCAATTGAGTACTAAAACAAATGGATTATTAATATTTAAATGTGGAAAAATATTTGCCTCTACTCAGATGGAAACATTAAACCAATCTCCTTCCAATGTTGCCTTCATTATTATGAGATTGCCGAAGAAGACCGTTTTAAGATTTTTTGGGCAAAGATTGGTAATTATGACCGTTTTTATATACTTTTTAACCCACATTTGCGGTAGCTTTTCTGGGACAGTATCTGCATTAAGAAAAACAACAAACAAATCTAAATCTCATAATGATATCTCTTAGTTTATACGTTAACCTAAATTCGTCAAAAGAAGGTCATAAATAATGATGATTCTAATAGATGTAAATTTTATCCAGTTGATTAATCAAAATGACAAGGACAAAAACAATATGAGCCCAGACTCATCTTGAGACAGCTTGCTATCTATTAACAAACAAAATGTTCATGGACAAGGAAAATAGCAATTTTTCTTTCGCAATTGGCTGCACGTTTAAGTTCATCCCTCAACATATAAGATTTATGCATACATATCTACAAATACCTAAATAATTAAATGAACTTAGCCATGCAGTACTTTGTTATATCAAATACAACAGCCAAATGAATAGTTTGGTTTATAAATAATTTAATTAACAAATTTAAATATTTATAATACATTTAAATACAAAGCCCAAAATTATTCTACAGGATGCTACATGATCGTCGAAGGGTAATAACTATGGTTTTTCTGTACAACATTAATTATTGATCCGGTTAAACATTTCTTCCCTTTGGTCATCGTATGAGAACATGCGTTCCCAAGTACGGTCGTCCTTAAAAGAATAATGAGGATCTTTAGCGTCCGTTCCTGGCTCATTACTGGAAGTTTAGATGATATAGTTGAGAGAGGATGCACCTCAGCTCTCGACAGAATGTGTGCTACAGACGCCAGCGTTGGTGTAGATGCCGTCCCAGCCCCATGGGGGCGAGACTCACTCCCCGCTGGCCCATTCCGGGTGGTCGGGTCTGCATTGTGCATCAGACTCTATGCTGCGTGTAAAGGGCTACCCAAGGTACCCTGGCTACCCAAGGTGGATGAAATGGATCACCCTGGTCTCCCACGCACTCCCTAGATAGAGAAGGCCATTCTATCTCCCAGAGTATTGGGGCTCTTCCAGCGTAAGAACTTCCAGATCCGCTCCGGCCGCGGTTCTGTTTAAAGTGGAATTGATAATCACCCCCTAGAGGAGATTGTCTTCGGTAAAGGTCGCCCATGCAAGCACCACCGACCACTATCCGTTCCAATCCGCCATTTCTCACGCATTCGAGGGACTTCGTAAGAATAGTCTGAGCGTCCTCAACGCTATACGCTTCGATGGTCCGATCCTTCGTATCCCGCGAGGCCGGGTTATAACGAAGGTAATACGCGACTGCTTGGGCCTCACAGTCACAAAGTCACAGATTGAAGAACAGCCTCTTCCCTAAGTTCCCGCTAGGAGAATCTCCACTAAGCCACTACGAATCCATTCCCATGTAGCAAGGGCTGGACTTTGGACCATTTCTGCTACCCCGTAGATGGTTATGCACCCTCCCCCGTCTATGTAGACAGAATCTGGTACCCTAACCTGCCGTCCCCTGCCGACCCGGAGGCCGACACGAATCCAGCATGTGCTTTATAGAGGTTGCCACGCTCTCAAGGCTGCACCATTATTTTGCGCCTGGATACAAGTATTTAGCAGTGCTTCGTGATGTACTCAAGCTCTTCCTTGGTACTGCGGCATATTCCTTTTGGAGTGGATTGGCAGATTTAAACCATTTACGGTCGTTTTTATTTTGAAACTCAAATAGGTTTAGGAAGCAATATATATACATTCTCGGTGGTGAATTAGAGAGGGGAATTAGTTACCTTTATGCCTTCTGTATTGTAAGGTTATACAGTGTAAAATGACGACGCTGAAGGTGAGGCTGTTTTATGTAATTTTCTGAACTCTACTTTTGCTAGTGTCGTTTATAAATTTGTTTTTTAAACTGTAGAAAATATACAGATTAGACGGACGTTTTTTCTTCTAGCAACTATTTCTCAAAACAACAGCTGTCAAGTGACGATTGGCTTCGGAAAACTTAATTCAGTTGCATTACGAAACTCAAGTCCATCCTACCGCTTTGTCATGAGCTCTCAACAACAGATTTTCAAACTGTCAGACCTTTCGACGGTGTCTGCAGAAGAAAAGCTCAAATAAAAAGATGTCAATGTTACGTTTAAAGGATATAAATAAACATCAATTTTTAGATATTATGTATAAACACAATTATTACCTACTTTCAAAATTTAATCATCCAAAAAAAGGTAAGTTTAAGAGAAACTTAACTACTTTCTTTAATTTTAATTTTTCAATTCATCCCCACGACGTATTTGTATATATAATTTATAACATTTCTCTTAGTTATCGAAAAAAATAATGTTGTGAACTCACTTATACAAATTATTAATTTGTGAATGGCCAATTCCCACAGTGTATTTCAGTGTTGTTTCAAAGGGATTATTGGTTCTGAGGTACAATTTGCTTTCGAAAACATCGGAAGGTGAGAAACTAACTGTGGGACCTTTGTTACTGTCGAGGCTTCGAGTTGCCTCCTAGGGCCACTCGTATTACCACGTGCCAGGAATGTTTGGGTGATAGATGGTGATTCCTTTGAATGGGAATGGTTTCCATCACCACTTTAGTGCTTCTCCCTACCCTGGAAAGAGATGTTTGGGCAACAGTATCCTTGTAGGAAGTGCCTGGGCTTTTTGAGTAGTACTTGGCTCCGCTGGCGGCCGAGGTGCCGCCTGGGCATAACCCCCCAAGAGCCCGGCCTTCCACAATCGCACCGGCCTTAAGAAAGTTTAGCCGATTTATAGCCTCTGTATCTCTTTCTCTTTTGCGATGACAGGGCAGCTGGCCGATCGAGCAGAGCGGTAATCTACATAATTAACATTCATAGGGGGGGGGGTCGTCCCATTATATCTCTTTGCGTGTGCCTCTCTCCTACATTCGCAAATCTGCCTCGCCGACTGGCACCGAAGGGAGATTTGCCCGAATTTCTGACACTTACAGTATCGCATAGGTGCTAGTACATATGGCCGTAAACCGGCTTGTCGAAGGTGAGAAAGAGACTCACCGGGAGGACAATTTGCCCGTCCCGCCGAGTCCCCATCCTCCGCACGTCAAGCACTTCCTGGCCCCTTAAGCCATCATTGATATGTTCAATGCTGTTGTTTAAAACGTCGCGGCAGGTTTATCCCCACCAGAAATTGAATAACTACCTCTGGTGGGGCTGAACCTCAATCTCATGATCAGCATGTACCTTTAGGCTTAATACACTTTCCGTACTTCCTATGTGGTTGATACCGACACACGGAAGTTTGCCGACTCTTGCCTTTGTTAACTTTTCGTTTGTCATTAATACGCCTGCATAGAAAGAAGCGCCAGGTGGTTTTGAAGTCCCCCCTCCCTCAGACAGATTACACAGGATCTAGTGGTGCACATTTTTTTCAGCGGGGTAATACCCTGCATGTGCAACCCCACGGACAAGACTGTTTGGTTTTTATTTTTATTATTTTCCTTTCTCTTTGAATCTTTTCTTTCTTCCTCTTTCATTCTCTTAGCTGCTGGTGTCGCTGGCGATGTTGGAACATGGTTCCAGCGTCAACGCAATATTTTTTGGGAGCGAATTCCCCTCTCTTCCTTTTGGGAATATGCGCTTTCAGTCTTCCTCCACAAGGGTACAATCTAATCCGTTTCCTGTGTTTCGTACAGCAATAGTGGTGACATCATTTTCACCGACGTTGGGGGTCTATTGATTCGCGGAGCTGATGGGGTTCTCCACCGCAGAAATAACAAGCGGTATTTGTACTTCTGTATGTTTCTGAACAGTTGTAGCATTAAGTATCAGTGTAGAAGAAATGTGGCACGTGTTAGAGGGTCACGTGATCCAGAAAGGAAAATTATCGAGGAAAGCTGGAGACATGCAACTAAAGAAAACCAGATGATGATCAAATGGTGACTATCTAACAACTTGCGGAATATGAAAAAGGAAAACGCAAAATCGTGTATTATGAAAAGAAATACGAGAAGCATATGACACAACTAAGGGTATTGTTCAAAAATGAGGTTTCGGTTTGATTCCCACTTCTGATAATTGAGTGATCAACAAAGTGATTTGTAATCATGGTCCGTTTATTCTCACTTTATACAGCCAAAAATTTTAAGTTTTTTTTTGTTTAAAAAGTGTATTAGTTATACAGACAGGTACGAGAATAAAAATTCAGGTAGTTGAGGTTTCATGGAGGGTTTATGGATTAGATTTTAAAGAGAGTATTTTTTTGTTGACAAAAATCAGTTGGTTAGAGGGCATTTTTACCTTGTTTTGGCCTGGTTCTCGACTTTTGCCTGTCAGTGTTAGTTATGGTACTAGGGAAAGGTGCAACATGCAATCAATAAAGATAGCATTAATAATGTTGGTTGGTCTGCGAGCGGATGTACTCATAGTGAATTGATCGAGTGGGTCCGTGCATTTTTTCAGGTCAGCGTTTCACTCATGCCCGTTTCAGTTTCTCGCCGTGTTCAGTAAGGAACAGTTCTTCAGACCAATCAACACAAACTATTTTTTTGTATTATGAATATTATCATTTTAAAATCAACGACCGATGAATTATTATTGCTTAAATGTGCATAATTGTGATTTGAGAACCCACGGTTTTTGCTACCAATGTCAATAAAATGTAAATATGTTTAGTTTTTGTTGATAATTAGAATATGAAATGTTCACTTATTTATCGATTTTTATTATTTATTTTTCATGATTCGTTGTCTTTCCTTTGTGAGTCATGGGGGCCTTAAATTTTCTTGGGTTTTTGCCTTTCCAAACGGAGAACCTCATACCTTTTAAGTGACCTAAAATTACGATGATCAGCGGATTCTTATTTAGATAAGAAAGTTTAATTAATTCCCTCGGATTAATAGACATGTTGTCTTTCTTCTTCGTCAAGTGAATCAAACATACCAATTACGGTCTACGCGAAAGTCAGGCTGAAGTCCAATCTTGAAGTCTGCAGAAAAATTTTTCCACCGTGGCTTTCATCTCGTAGTTCCATCTCGTCAAGATCTCCACAACTATCGGAAAGGCTCCCCCAAGGTTTTCTAGTCAGGCTGTATGGTGCTGGTCAAAATGAAGACTATGGCGTAAAAGGCCACGGCGAACGTGACGAACGTCTTAACGAAAGGACGTATCAAGTCGTAAGTGCTCGGACGAAAAAGTATAAAGTAGTCGAAGGAAGTCGGTGTTCGTTTTTCCACCTCGACGCATTCCTCTTCCGTCTCGAACCCGTCTGAGCTTGACATCTTGAAACCGTTCACAACTCGAATTTTAACCGACGTGAAAACGGGCCCGAGATCGAAATTTTCATAAGCTCTAATAACCGTCACCGAAACATGATGTGTAATGACAATCAGATGTTTTATAAAATAATCACCTACATACGTTGTTTCTGTTATACATTAAAAATATTATACAACAAATTAGCGGGTTTCGGTAATTTTCGAGTCGTAAATAAAAAAATAATTGTTTCATTTAATTAATCTTTTCGTGTAAGATTTTGGTTGAAATGAAAAAGCTAGTGCCACGAGCGGGATTCGAACCCACCGCCTTCCGCTAAATATGCCACTGCTCTACCACTTGAGCTATCGTGACTTCGATCGACTCGGACACCAACCTCCATCTCTACAACACCTATAACCTTTCGAATTTTCCCTCCTTTTTGCGATTTTTCAAATGTGGTGCCCATTATATTTAGTGGTTCATTGACCAAATTACATCTTTCAATTACTTAATCTTTTTATGTAAGGTTTTGGTTGAAATGAAAAAGTGAGTGGATATTATTATTATTAAATTCACTAGTTTCGTGGTCCGCTTGACCAATTAATATCTTACAATTAATTGAGGTTTTCAGTTGAGATAAAAAAAGTCATTGAAAAATGGCAAAAAGGAGGCAAAATTCAAAAGGTGTGGTTGATATGGGAGGTTGGTGTCCGAGTGGTCTCCACTTGAGGTATTGTAGAGCAGCGGCGTATCTAACCGAAGATCGTGGGTTCGAATCCCGCTCGTGCCATTGACTTTTTTATCTCAACTGAAAACCTTAATTAATTGTAATTATTAAATATTACCAAAAAGGTACCACAGAAAAACATTTAATTTTTTTAACCACATATAAACTTCGTATCAAATAACAGTGATTTATAAACAGTGTAGTATTACCAAAAATGTATTTCTATATCAAATCACTTATTGTAATTATAGATAGATAGACAGTCAGAGAGGAAGAGAAGAAGAAAAAGAAAACTAAGAGAATCCGAAAGGTTAAAAGTTGGAGAGAAAAGGTAGAAAACAAAAATAAATTAATGAAAAAATAAAACAAGCAGATACATAGATAGATAGTTAGATAGGTAGGTAAATGGAGAGAGAGTCATAAAGAGTCAGAAATGACGAGAGGGTGAAGAGAGGGAGAAAAAAGAGAACAATAAGAGTGCCCGAAAGGTTAAGAGTTGGAGAGAAAAGGTGGAAAACAAAAATAAACTATTCAAGGGAGAAAGGAAAGAGATAGATATATAAATAGATTGGAAGGGAGGGAGAGAGAGAGAGAGAGAGAGAGAGAGAGAGAGAGAGAGAGAGAGAGAGAGAGAGATAAAGATAGAAAAAAGACTAAGAGAGAGAACCAACTGTTTTACAACTTGAAAGGTAAACTACTGCAAATATCTAACGTTGTTCGCATCATAATCAATGCATTTGTGTGAGTGTGTGATGTTGAGTTTTGTCATAACTGAAAACCAAAAGCGACCGACATCATACACGTCGATAGATGTAAAAATGTAGATATTCAGATAGAAAGAGACAGAGACCGAGAGAGAGAGAGAGAGAGAGAGAGAGAGAGAGAGAGAGAGAGAGAGANGAGAGAGAGAGAGAGAGAGAGAGAGAGAGAGACAGACAGAGAGAGACAGATAGTAAAGATTGAAAAATGAGTCATAGTCAGTGTTGTGTGAATTTCAAAATATTCTCGGCTTTTTATTTTATTTACGTCTAGGAAGGTTTGAAGTAAATCAGTAAATGAAGAGTATGAAATATTAACTTGGCCTACAAAGGACGGAGACGCAATAACACGGGTGTGATAGATAGCGTATGGCGAACGTGATATTTCGCCTCTTGGTAGTTAATTAATCTTAATCCAAGACTTCGTGAAACAAGGTTTAACGTAACCAAAGTTTAGTGAAATAGTATTAGGGCTTTTATTGGATGCGAGAATGCCTATGCGGAAAATGGAAAAGTTAGTGTCACGAATGTCAAAGAGTATGTTGAACAGCAAAAGTGGCCAATAAGTTGCAAAATGCATCATATACAATATTTTTCTTGTTCTATCTTATCGCAATATTGAATTTCTTTGTTCCGGACTAAAGTCATAAGAATTTTTATCGTAACACAATAACTACTTGAAGGCGATTTCATTGGGAGCACAGTGTTTGATTCTCAACTTTGAAAACTTTCACGTGGATAAAATTGCTTTTAATAAGCTAAAATCATATATGGGGAATCACGGTAGCCGCAAGTTTAATTGTTCTCTCTCTCTCTCTCTCTCTATCTATCTATCTATCTATCTATCTATCTATCTATGTATCTATCTATATATCTATCCCTCTTTTTTCTTCCTTCATTAGTTGATACTCTCAGCTCGTAGTCCCCTCGGTCGTGGGTTCAATTTTTTCACGCAACCTCCCCCCCCCAAAAAAAAAATAAAAAATGCAAAGTTCATAAGGCCATTTGAGGTTGGTTAATTTTGAACAAAATTAGTATTTACTAGTATATGTCTAGATTTTTCTGTAAGTGAATAGCGTTTTTATCTTAACACGAAAGATACAAAATAACGTTAAAATTTATTTAGGAGTAACCCCCAATAATTTATAAACTTTATAAAAATCGCCCTAACGTGCTCAACTTTTCCAGCGATAAAATAACTTCGTGAAGAATATATAACAAAAAAAAGTCAAATTAAGATTTCTTCTTTTCTAAGTGTTCTAGCACCTCGTCACACTTTCTTCTCTTTTTCCCTCCTCAAGATTACTAAAAAGTTGTCCCTTGGCTTCTTGGGAAGAAGACACGTTTTCACCACTGACCGTCTTTTTGTCGACCCCCTAAATAAATTGTGCCAATGAAGCTGATGGAGAAAATAGGGGGCGTGGGCGTGAAAGTTTATCCAACAAACTTCCACCGTATCGGAATCACTTCAGCGCCGGTTTTATTTTCATAAGGGTTCATTGTTTCCTTTGTGTAATTATGTTTTTGTTTTCTTACTGTTTAGCCGAATCGTATAATTTCAGATCACAGACGATGAAGTTGCAGGGTCTTAACGGAGGTTTTCGCTTTTTTTTCTGTTTCCCCCTCGGGGTAAGTGATTGATTAGAGGAGTCTTTAATGATGGGGATTTTAGAGAGATTTGATTCTAACGGTCTTAATGGTGTAGATTTAATTAAAAACCTCATTAATAACTGTTCTGTTTGAAACATTTTAATTAAAATGTCTTCCACATGTTTTAAAATATAAGAAAATGGAACTCGGCGTAAATTCGAGTTGTTTTGGAACATTAATTGTCATGGAAATTCATTCACATATTCCCATGCCCAGCACGAAATGAAAACTAAATACATAAAATTAATTATTCTTTCTATGTAAGGTTTTGGTTCAGATAAAAAAATATCATTGTCACGAGCGGGATTCGAACCCGCATATGTATTAAGACCTTACATAAAGATTAATTAATTGAAAGAAGTAACTTGATCAATTGTCCACTAAAACGTAAATGGATTAATATTTAAAAAATTAATGAAGTATCACTTCACTAAACAGCTCCCCGTGGCCACTTCATAAGTCCCTGAGAATCGAATCCTAATTACACATTTAAAAATTGGTAAAAAGAGGGAAAATTCGAACAGTTGTAGGTTGAGATGGAGATGATTGAAGCCACGATAGCTCAATTGGTAGAGCAGCGGCGTATTTAGCCGAAGGTCATGGTTCGAATCCTGCTCGTGGCACTGACTTTTTTATCTGAACCAAGACCTTCCATAGAAAGAATAATTAATTGAAAGCAGTAACTTGGTCAATTGACCACTAAAACGTAAAAGGATTAATATTTAAAAGTAAATGAAGTATTACTTCACTAAACAGCTCTCCATGGCCACTTCATAAGTCCCTGAGAATCGAATCCTGATTACACATATAAAAAACGGCAAAAAGAGGGAAAATTGGAAAGATAGTAGGTTGAGATGGAGAGTTGGTGTCGGAGAGGATCGAAGTCACGATGACTCAAGTGGTAGAGCAGCGGCAAATTTAGCGGAAGGCCGTGGGTTCGAATCCCGCTCGTCACACTAGCTTTTTCAATTCAACCAAAATCTTACACAAAAAGATTAATTAATTGAAAGAATTAATTTTTTAGTTACGACTCCAAAATTGCCGAACCCCGTCAATTTGTTTTATAATATTTTTAACGTATAACAGAAACAACGTATGTACGGTAGGTGATTATTTTATAAAACTTCTGTTTGATTGTCAGTACACATCATGTTTCGGTGACGGTCATTAGTGCTTGTGAAAATTTCGATCGCGGGCCCGTTTTCACGTCGGTTAAAATTCGAGTTGTGAACGGTTTCAAGATATCAAGCTCAGACGGGTTCGAGACAGGTTCATAAGTCCCTGAGAATCGAATCCTGATTACACATTTAAAAAATGGGAAAAAGAGGGAAAATTCGAACAGTTGTAGGTTGAGATAGAGAGTTGGTGTCGGAGAGGATCGAAGCCACGATAGCTCAAGTGGTAGAGCAGCGTATTTAGCCGAAGGTCGTGGTTCGAATCCCGCTCGTGACACTGACTTTTTTATCTGAACCAAGACATTCCATAGAAAGAATAATTAATTGAAAGAAGTAAACTGGTCAATTGACCACTAAAACGTAGAAGCATTAATAATTACAAAGTAAATGATGTATTACTTCACTAAACAGTTCTCCATGGCCACTTCATAAGTCCCTGAGAATCGAATCCTGATTAAACATATGAAAAATGGAAAAAAAGAAGGAATATTTGAACAGTTGTAGGTGGAGATAGAGAGTTGGTGTCCGAGATGATTGAAGTCACGATAGCTCAAGTGGTAGGGTAGCGTATTTAGCCGAAGTTCGTGGGTTCGAATCCCGCACGTGACACTGACTCTTTTATCTGAACCATGACCTTACATAGAAAGAATAAGTAATTGAAAGAAGTATCTTGGTCAATTGTCAACTAAAACCTAAGTTGATAAATATATAAATTTAAATATTTCCCTTGAAAAACAAAACTTGTTTTTTATTGTTTAAAACACGTTTAAATAACTTTCCTTCGATCAAAACTTTTTATACAATCTTTGAACACAAATTTACTATGTCGTAAATT